TTTTTTTTTTTTTTTTTTTTTTTTTTGAGTATTACAGCCTAACTCAATGATCTCAGTATTGGAGTTAAGTCATGACGTTACAGTATCGGAGCAGAAAGGGAACTAGAGGTTCTAGTGTCATAATCCACGTTGCACAAGTCTAGCGAGCTACCTCGGTTATCTACAATTACTGTGGTGTCCTACTAAGTCTTTCTAGGGCGGATCTTGGTGGCTTAGACTTGGACTCATTCATCTTTAGGATTCTTGCAATAGGACTCTTAAACCTGTTCTAGGTCTTTGTCTACCTTACTTAGTCTCAAGCGCCATAGTCTAGGCTCATATTTTCTTCCTATTCACAACAAGAAAGACAAAACAAGCAATCATGGATTGGAGTTAACATGCAGCAGTTCATGCAATATTAACAAACATGCTCGATGGGAAGATAACGTCCATCTTCACCCGGAGTGCAGACTTCACAAATTTCTCTTTCTTCTTTATCATGCATCAATATCACATTCTTATTCTAAAGTGAATTCATAATCAATCATATATAGGTATCATTGCTCTTATTTAATTCATTTTCATGACTTACATACTAATAGGCTAGGTCTAGCTAGCTAGGATTATCAGTTTGACAGCATGCATGCTTATTCCAAGCATTTCCTACAAGTGTTGCTCATGGGACGCGCCTTCCCAAGTCTTGGTTAGTCGTAGAGGAGTAAAAAAATTACCAAAATCCTCGATAGGCACCTAATTCCCAATAAAACAACATTAGCATTGAAACCAAGGTGAAAATCTAGCAATTGAGTGAAAAATGGGTGAGAATAGGGGCTTCATGTGCCCCCATGCTCCCCTATGCGCTGGCACCCACCCCTACGTGTTGGGCACAAGCACGGGCCGCGCTTTGAACCTCAGTGAATGCAAACTTCGCCTTTGAATTTTGTGGTTGTGACACGTGGCACACATGGAGTGATGAGTCGTTGGGTTGGACCATAGGTCGCCTTGGGGTTCTCGGATGCAGTTCATTTCGCGTGAGGGTTTTAATTCCAGGTCGACCCGAATTCTCGCGTGTTGACAGGCAGGCTACATGTTTCTCTAGTGGAACATTGCCACATGTTGCTCGCCAGCTTCGCTGCGCTCCTCTATACGTTGGGCGATGCCTGATGATTATTTTCTCTCTCTACATGTTTCCAAATTTCCAAAATGTTAGCTTCTTCATGTTTTCAATCTATCTTCTTTCATTTTTTGTAACTTAACGCACACAACTTGAATCGACGTGTTTTCTTCACCGAAGCCGTAGAGTTTCTATCTACCTACACTGTCATATTTTTTCTTATATTTTTTACTCCAACACAATGTGAAATAAGGACATTCGAAGATGTAGAAAAACTCACATTTTCTTTTCTTGACATGCTTTTCGTTCTTTGAATCGGACTTTGGTTTTTGTCTGAGTTTTCTCTAAGAAATCTTTGCAAACTCTCTTATAGTTCTTGGATCTAGGTAAATTGAAAAAAAAATGTCATAACCATTCCTTGTTTGGTTCTTGGGTTTTCTTGTCAGAATGGGCGAATCCACCACCCAAACCTCTCTACCAGCACCAAAAGAAGACTCGATTTGAAGTTTCTTGTCTTCGTTGGATCTCCAACGATGGATTTGTGGTTGCAGAAATCTCTCTTTTCTTTCATCTTAAACCTTAATCCTCTTCTTTTTTTTCTTTTTTTTCTTTTTTTTTCCTTCTCTTGGCGAGACTATTGAGACCCCATAAGTAGGAGTAAGGGCAAAATGACTGGTTTGCTAGTTTGACTTTGACCCTCCCCCCCCCCCCCCCC